CATGACCGCTTTTTTCAGCAAAGGAGGAATGTCGCCGGAGAGCTCGGGCATAGCACTTTTCAGAAGATGACAGCCGCTTTGCGTATGTTGGCATACGGTATATCGGCTGATCTAGTTGATAATCACTTGGCTATGGGTGAGAGCCAAGCCATCATGTGTGTCAAGCGCTTTGCAGTCGGAATTGTGCAAGTGTTTGACGAGGAGTATTTGAGATCTCCCAATGCTGAAGACGTCGCAAGGCTATTGGTGGTGAATAAAGCTCGCGGCTTTCCTGGCATGCTTGGCTCAATAGATTGCGTGCATCGGAGTTGGAAGAATTGTCCAAAGGCATGGCATGAACAATTCCACGGCCAAAAAAAGGGTTCCACTATAATCCTTGAAGCGGTGGCCGATCAAGAGACTTGGATTTGGCATGCATTCTTTGGAATGCCTGGATCTTTAAATGACATCAATGTTGTCAACCGGTCACCATTGATGAATAAGATTGCAAATAGTGAGTTGCCACCGGTGCAGTTTGTAGCAAATGGCCGTACGCACAACTATGGCTATTATCTAGCGGATGACATCTATCCAAAGTGGCAAACCTTTGTCAAGCCGTTGAAAAAGCCAGAAGGTAAGAAAGAACTTGATTTCCACAATGCTCAGGCGGTGGCTAGAAAAGATGTGGTGAGAGCTTTTGGGATTTTGAAGCCCAATTTGCTACTATGAGAGGACCGGCTAGATTTTGGGATCAGAAAATGCTTTGGTACATCATGCACGCTTGTGTGATCATGCATAACATGATCATCGAGAATGAGCGTGGCCAAGATGTAGATTATTCTCAGTATGAGCTTTTGGGACACCCGGTGCGAGTGCGACGGAGGGCTGAAAGGGTGGCCCGTTTTGTTGCCTCCTATCATGCCATTCGACGTCCTGCAGCGCATAATGATCTTCAGAAGGATCTCATTGAGGATTGGTGGGTATGGAATGGACGACAAAGAGCATCATGATTTGTGCGTTCGATATTGTATTGTTGAACTATTTGTTATGTTTAATTGCATTATTTGTTGTATTGAACGATAAACTGTTTGTTTGAGTTGTAATAACGAAATTGAACTATTCAGTTGATTTATTTTTGTTTGTGTTTGATCCTTTTGCTTCTGTTTTCGAATGTATATGTTGTTTGTGCGAGAGTCGCGCGCGCTGCATTTTAACGGGGCTGCTGGAGATAGCTCTGCGCGCCGCGCCAAACCAAACGATGGACGTGCGACAAAGTTGTTTTTTACGTGCGGCGCGTTCGGCGCCTGTTAGAGATGCTCTGATGTGTGCTCGTAGGTGGTACAACGTAGTAGACCTGCTGCAGAGTTAATTGCACAGAAGTACCACAATTCGGGCATCACATGCAGATTGATACCACGATTGCTAATTTTTACGTGTCAGTACCAACATTCGTCCAAATTTTTGCAAATTAGACTAAAACGATTGCTAATTTTTACGTGTCAGTACCAACATTCGTCCAAATTAGACTAAAACGCGTATTTATACGTATTGACAGTGTATCTGACCGTTGGGGCCCGCCCATCAGGTGCCGACGTGGCATATTTTTTGCAGAAAACCCCTTGGCTTTATATGTAATCATATAAATGCCCATTTTTTCGCAGGAAAACCGCTATTGAGAGGAACTTTTTTTTTCGTTCGCGAGTTTTTCGCGGACTTGTTCGAAAGTTTCCGGCGAATTGAACAAATAAATAACCGGAACGAAAAAACGGACGCGCGCGCGATTCGAACCCGCGACCTGCAGGTCTGCCGCCGGGCGCGCTAGCCACTACGCCACAGCGACGCTGTTGACTTGATACAGGCGAAATATTTATTATACTAGCACACACACGCTGGGCCGGCAGCTGGGCCAAGCAAAGCCTGCAATATTATTTTACAAATAATTTAGTAGATGCAAAATGATCATTTTTTCTTATTTTTACACAGGCTGTATTAATAGCATTATCTTTGAGAAAAATATTAGTTTGGTAAACATGCAGATTACTACATGTGTTATTTTTTGACAAATAGAAATATGAACCCGAGATTGAAACTTTCATCGTTTTAAAAAAGTTCAATATATAGGTGACAAATGGTTTTATAATACAAAAAAAGTTAATCGTATATTTATATAAAATCATTGTATATAAAAAAATGTTCAATGTTTAGTGTTTATTTACAAAAAAATATCGCAGAATAAAAAGTTCACTATAAACTTAAAAAATGTTATGATCATTTTGCATCTATTAATTTTTTTTACATAATGCATGGTGAATATTTATTACAAAAATGATCAATATAAGTTAAAAAATCTTAATATATGTTGAATAATTTTGGTAACATATATTAAGAAAATTGTTCAACATATATTACAAAAATGATCAATTTCATTGAATGAAAAAAGATGAAGAAACGAAAAGAAACCTGGGCAACGAACGAGCCCCAGCAAAACGCAAAACGAAAAAATTATTACAGGCCTCGGTTGGCCCAACCACCGGTCCAGCGTTTTATTGTTTGTATAAAGATATACTGCCCGCCTTTTAAACAGAGCACACCTGTGGCCTGGTGGCTAGCGCTCTCCGCTTGCGTGTTGCTGGTCGCAGGTTCGAAACCTGCTGATGATGTGCATTTTTCTTTTATTTTATTTGTTTATGCTGAACATTTTTTTAAATACGTTGAACAATTTTCTAAAGATATGATGAATATATTTGACATAATGCAAGGTGAATTTCTTGTAATTTATGGTGAACATTTTCTTAGACATGATGGATTTTCGTAAAATATTGCAGGCTTTGCTTGGCCCGGCTGCCGGCCCAGCGTGTGTGTGCTAGTATAATAAAACTTTCGCCTGTATCAAGTCAGCAGCGTCGCTGTGGCATAGTGGCTTGCGCGCCCAGCGGCACGCCTGCAGGTCGCGTGTTCGAATCGTGCGGTCCCTCTCAATGGCGGTTTTTCTGCGGAAAAATGGGCATTTATGTGATTACATATAAAGCCAAGGGGTTTTCTGCAAAAAATATGCCACGTCGGCACCTGACGGACGGGCCCCAACGGTCAGATACACTGTTAATACGTATAAATACGCGTTTTAGTTTAATTTGCAAAAATTTGGACGAATGTTAGTACTGACACGCAAAAATTAGCAATCGTGGTACCAATCTGCATGTGATGCCCGAATTGTGGTATTTCTGTGCAATTAACTCCCTGCTGCACGACTTTGTCCGTGTGATGGCACGGGCACGATGGAGTTTATTGCGAGCATCATGACACGTTTTAGGATCACTAAAAAAAATGGAAAAGAAGAAGAGAAAAGCAGCAGAACTTGGCCTGCACAACACCTCGCCTGTCTCGTTTTTTTCTTCAGAGAGTGGTCGAGTTGTGCTCCGGCGAGCTTCACCGTCAACAGTCTGCTCGGTCTGGTTGCTACTGCGCCTCTTTACGACCGGGCAGAGAACTTAGAACGATCGAGCCAAGATAGTAGAATTTTCCAACGTGATCCTCTCTTTCCACCTTAATAATCAACCAACTACAGTAGGAGCTAGACTTCGCGCCTGAACGTGTGATCCAACACCAACAGCGTGAAGTATTTTTCTTACTCCCTCCTTCCATCTATATAAGGCCTAATGCGTTTTTCGAGGCTAACTTTGACCAAATGTTAGATCAATAATATATGACATGCAACTTACTCCCTCCATCAAATTCGTATGTGAAAGGAACTTTCAGTGATATAATTTTTACATTATGCATGTCATGTACTATTAATATTATCAATAGTCAAAGGCGGTTTTGAAAAACGCATTAGGCCCTATATAGATGGAAGGAGGGAGTAACTAGTGTACTTGCCTGCACATGTGCGTGTTGAAAAACGGTGACGTCGCGTCCCATTACCGGAAGAAGTGGGCCTTTGTCCTCCTCGTCCTACTGCCCCTGCATAAAATATTACTACAAACTCCGGCGACCGGCGTCGAGCTTCCCCATTACGTGCCGCTCTATCCTTTTCCCGATCCATACCGGGCCAAACAATTCTTTCCGCAGTGACAGCCAGGCAGCTAGAGCACTGACGATTTCTTTTTGTCCCGGCCTGATCACCGACCAAGCTCAGCTCAGCTCAGCACGGCCATGACCGCAGCTCGCGGCTGTGCTCTGCTTCTGCTCTTCGCCCTCGCGCTCCCCGGCACCGGCCGTGCGCTGGCGCAGCGCGAGCGCGGCCGCGATAGCCTGCCGCGCGGCGCCTCGCTCGCCGTCGAAGACCACGCGTCCGACGTCCTCGTCTCCCCGGACGGCGCCTTCGCCTGCGGCTTCTACGCCGTCTCCCCCACCGTCTTCACCTTCTCCGTCTGGTTCGCGCGCTCCGCCGACCGCACCGTCGTCTGGACGGCCGCCGCCAGCGCCACGGCGCGCCGCGCCGTGCACAGCCAGGGCTCCCGCCTCGCGCTCGACGCCCGCCGCGGCGCGCTCCTCCTCACCGACTACGACGGGGAGGTCGTCTGGAACTCCACCGCCCACGACGGCGCCGCGCGGGCGCGGCTCCGCGACACCGGCAACCTCGCCGTCGAGGACGCCCGGGGGGCCGTCCTGTGGCAGAGCTTCGACCACCCCACCGACACCCTGCTCCCCGCCCAGCGCCTCGGCGGCGCCGCCGGGAGCGGCCTCGTCTCCACCAGCAGGCTCCTCGCGGCTGGGCACTACGGCTTCCGCTTCAGCGACTACGCCATGCTCTCAATGGTGTACGGCGACGGCGGCCAGGTGTCCAGCATCTACTGGCCCAACCCCTACTTCAGCTACTGGCAGAACAGCCGCAAGATCTACAATTTCAGCCGCGAGGCCGAGCTCGATTCCACGGGACATTTCTTGGCCAGCGACAACGCGACGTTCGATGCCGCCGATCTGGGCGTCGCCGGGGTCAGGAGGAGGCTGACGCTGGACACCGACGGCAACCTCCGGCTGTACAGCTTGGACGCCGGCGGCCAGACGTGGACCTGTCGTGGATGGCCTTCTCCAACCCCTGCATCATCCACGGCGTGTGCGGCATCAACGCGGTGTGCCTCTACACGCCTTCACCGGCATGCGTCTGCGCCCCCGGCCACGAGCGCGCCGACCGGAGCGACTGGAGCAGGGGCTGCCGGCCGACGTTCAGCAACTCCACCGGCGGCCGCGACGAGCAGGTGAAGTTCGTGGCGCTGCCGCACACCGACTTCTGGGGCTTCGACCTCAACAACAGCGAGTTCCTGTCGCTGGACGCGTGCGAGGCGCAGTGCACCGGCGAGCCGTCGTGCGTGGTGTTCCAGTACAAGCAGGGCAAAGGGGAGTGCTACCCCAAGAGCCTCATGTTCAACGGCAGGACGTTCCCGGGCCTGCCCGGCACGGCCTACCTCAAGGGCCCCGCCGACTTCAACGTGCCGGAGCTGCACGTCCATCAATGGCAGACCGATGATGGCCTCGCCATCCAGGAGGACATTGCCGGATGCGATGCCGCGGCACCGGAGGTAGTCATGCTCAACGTCTCCAGCACGGCGAAGATGAGCAGCAACCAGGGCAAGTCACTATGGTTCTACTTCTACGGATTCTTGTCCGCCGCCTTCGTCATCGAGGTGTTTGTGATAGCGTTTGGGTGCTGGCTCTTCTCCAAGAAAGGGATACTGTCCAGGCCATCGGAGCTTCTGGCCGTGGAGGAAGGGTACAGGATGATCACCAGCCATTTCCGGGCATACAGCTACTCAGAGCTGCAGAGTGCCACCAGGAAGTTCCGTGCCAAGATCGGGCATGGTGGTTCGGGCACCGTGTACAAGGGGGTCCTGGACGACGACAGGACGGTGGCCGTCAAGGTGCTGCAGGATGTGAGCCAGAGCGAGGAGGTGTTCCAGGCCGAGCTGAGCGCGATCGGCAGGATCTACCACATGAACTTGGTGAGGATGTGGGGGTTCTGCTCGGAAGGCGCGCACCGGATTCTGGTCTACGAGTACGTCCACAACGGATCACTGGCAAATGTGCTGTTCCAAAGCACCGGAAATTCCGGCAGGTTGCTGGGATGGAGGCAGAGGTTCAACATCGCCGTCGGCGTGGCCAAGGGACTGGCATATCTTCACAATGAGTGCCTAGAGTGGATCATCCACTGCGACATGAAGCCGGAGAACATACTGCTGGATGATGAAATGGAGCCCAAGATCACCGACTTCGGGCTGGCGAAGCTGCTCAACAGAGATGGGTCCGACTCGGGCCTGTCGCGGATCCGAGGAACAAGGGGGTACATGGCGCCCGAGTGGGTCTCCAGCCTTCCCATCACTGAGAAGGTCGACGTGTACAGCTACGGAGTGGTGCTCCTGGAACTGATGAAAGGGAAGAGGGTTTCAGATTGGGTGGTGGATGGGAAAGAAGGGTTTGAAACTGATGTGAGAACTGTGGTTAAGATGATTGTTGACAGATCGAAGCACAGCAATGGAGGATGGGTTGCGGACCTGGTGGATGAACGGTTGGATGGCGAATTTAATCATGCGCAAGCTAAAATATTTGCCCAATTGGCTGTCTCATGTTTAGAGGAAGATAGAAACAAAAGGCCCGGTATGAAGAATGTAGTGCAGACGCTCATCTCTGCAGATGATGAGTCCAGAGATAATGAATATCCAGAAATTTGATTCAGTTTATTTTGGGCATGTGTTAGTTTGTGTGTGTGTGTGTGTGTGTGTGTGTGTGTGTGTGTGTGTGTACAGCAATCTTTGTGACATCATATAATATAGTATATTACTGTACTCCTTCCGGTTCAAAATAAGTGTCGCAGTTCAACCTTAGTTCAAAACTGCGACACTTATTATGGACCGGAGGGAGTAGAAATTAGAACCCACAAATTATGTCCTTGTTAATGCGTGATGGCAGAAATCTAGAAGTTTACCTGTTGCAGATGTTGGACAAGCTGCACTTGGATTTGTTCTTCTTGCCCAAATCTATTGGTTTGACAGTGGTATCATAGCTGATTTGGGACAGCACTTAGATTGTCAACTGGATCAGGATACCTGTGCAGTCCTGCTGCATTTCCTCGAGTTGCCAGATGAAAAACCTTTGATACAGAATGTCAATACATAGAACACCTATATCAGTTGGCAAACAGTTACCAGATGATACCACAGGCTAGCAGAGACCTGATATGTGACAACGTCATTAGTTTTACCATTGTCAGATTTACAATATGTTCTTATACCCACTAAGAGGGCATAAGCGATTTCAGAAACAAAAAGACTGAATATATACATGTATTACTATTATTACTCAATTACTACTCCCTCCGTTCCAAATTACTCGTCGCAGAAATGGATGTATCTAGAATTGAAATACATCTAGATACATCCATACCTGCGACAAGTAATTCGGAAAGGAGGGAGTACATGACATGGAATACCTATGCACAGGTATACATACAACTATATGCACCCTAGTGTGATGCTTACGAAGCAACGCACTAGTATGTTCAAAGTTCAAACTGAAGCTTCTTCAACTGAGAGGAGGCTCTCAACTATTGATTCCATTGTTGGCCTGTTCTTCCTGTCCTCCTCCAGGCATGAAACGGCTATCCTGATCAACTCTTTCGCTTGCAGGTAGTTGAAATTGCCGTCCAGTCTGACATCTACAAACTCTGTTAACCACAACAGTTCATCCCCTTCCAACCTGTAAGAAAGCATCTTAATGAACTTCTTGAGCACCACATGGACATCCTCCTCCAAATCAACAACAAAGTCGAGAATTCTTGTTCCTGACACTAGTTCAAGAAGCACGATCCCATAGCTGTACACGTCAACCTTCGCTGTGATCGGTAAACCAGTGACCCACTCCGGAGCCATGTAGCCCAAGGTTCCTCGCGCCCGAGACACATTCTGATTAGGCCCCGTTCTGCTGAGCAGCTTTGCGAACCCAAAGTCGGTGATCTTAGGCTCTAGATCTTGATCCAGCAGAATGTTCTCCGGCTTCAGGTTGCAGTGGATGACCCACTCTAGGCACTCATGGTGAAGATAGGCCAGCCCCTTTGCAACACCTAAAGCAATGTTGAACCTCTGACCCCACTGCAGCAAGATTTTGTTGCTGAATAGTATGTTAGCTAATGAGCCGTTCTCAAAATACTCCAAGACCAACATTCTATGGGATCTCTCTGAGCAAACCCCCCATATTCTTGCCAGATTCATATGGTTAATCCTTGCAATGACATGCAACTCATCCTGGAACTCTGCCCTGTTCCTTGTTACATTTTCCAGCCTTTTTATGACCACCTCTCGCTCATCATCCAAGGTTCCCTTGTAGGCAATACCTGAACCTCCCCATCCAAGCTCATGTTTGAACTTTTCAGTCGCCTTGGCCAGCTCTCTGTAACTATACATCCGGAAATGACTAGTCATCACCTTGTAGCCTTCCTCAGCTGCCCATAATTGCGATGACCTAAACTCTCTCCGTAGAACGAAGAACCATGCAAACGCGAAGAAGAAAACCTCAATGACAAAAAATGCAGCAATGAACCCATACAGATAGAGCCATTTTGAATCATCACCGCCATCTTCACGAACCATGTCTGGCACTGGTTCTATGATTGTTTTGCTCACATGATCACATTCGAGACGATGTATTTCAGTGTTGAGCACATTGGACTGTGGAATTGAGGTATTTGAAACATTGAAACTTGTGGGGAGCTTGATGTACATCGTTCGCACAGTAGGTGTTGGGAAACTCCTCCCATTGAAAAGAAGATTCTTTGGATAGCATGTGCCATTTCCTTGTTGGTACTGAAAACCCTTGCACGTGCAATCACTCAAGCATACGTCCATACAACGCTCCAAAGACACTTTGTTGATGCGCTGCTGATCAGATCCCCAAAAATCAGTGTTTGGAAGCTGCAAAAATGTCGCACTCCGTTCACTATCCCCGCATCCGATGGTATCTACGGTAAGCTCGCATCCCTGTGTCCAGTTGCCAGGATTCCTCATTGCATAACCAGGTGGGCAAGAACATGTTGGTGCAGGGGAGTAGTGGCAGATCCCATATGGACCACACAGGCCATGTATCATGCATGGCTGAGACACAGCCACCCATGAAACTGTCCATCTCCTGTTTGAATCTGATCCATTGCTCAAGCTGTATATCCTAAGATTACCATCAGAATCAAGAGTAAGTCTTCTCTTAATCCCATAGCCTCTATCAGAGGCAACAAGAGGCCGGTGCCAAGCGAAATCACTGGCAAAAAATTCCCCGAAATCATCAAGGCTCCCCATCCGAGTACTGTTATAGAGGTTCCTGTTATTCTCATAGTACTGGTAATCAGGATCAGGCCAGTATATGTCAGAAACATTGGTGTCATCGTAGAAGAGAGACAGCATGGATTGGTCACTAAAACGGAAGGTGTAGTGACCAGGAACATGCAGCCGGCTGGTAGAGACTAACTTCGCCGTGGCAGGGATTCGCTGGGTGGGTAGGAAGGTGTCTGTTGGTGAATCGAAGCTCTGCCAAACAATGTTGCCGCTTGTGTTCTTCAGGACGAGGTTCCCGGTGTCAAGAAGCTGAGCATACTCGACATTTGGGAGGTCGCCCTCAGTTTGCCACACGGTGGTGCCATCGTGGTCGGTGAGGACCATGTTGCCGTCCTTGTGCAGGGTGACGGCTGACCTCCTGGAGCGCACGGGGCGGCCGCGGTTGGCACTCCAGACGACGGTTTCGCCAGGTGTGTCAGAGTACCAGATGGAGAAGGTGAAGGCGCCGCTGTAGATGCTGTGGAAGCCACAGGAGAACGTACCGTCGGGTGACCGCAGGAAGCTGGTCTCATGATCCTCGACGGCGAGGGAGGATTTCAGCGCTAGGACGTCGCCGCCAGGAGGTGCCGTGCCACCAACACCCACGGCTGGTAGAAGTAGAACAAGCAAGGATAGGAGCAGGGTGGGTAGGAAGGGGGTAGCCATGGTTGGTTGCAGAGATTATCTGAGCTGCTGCCTGCAGGGCCGGGATGAGGATGAGTTGAGTAGGCGATGAAGTTCCAGATGCTCCCCGTTTGTCTTGGTCCAATCCACTGGTAGCCATGGTTGGAATACTTCTTGTCTGCATGCATGTTGAGACGTGTAAAAACGATATGCTGTAGAAGAGAAGGACTACTAATTGGACTTCGTTACCTGAAATGTATTAAAAGTCCACAAGCTGAGGGATGCATCTTGTCCAACACACTAGTTTATATCTGTCTAAGCTTGAGACTCATCAATGAACATGGAGCCACATGGTGCGGCGCTTGATTGTGACATCTCCAGAATATTAAGGACAGGTCAGCTTTAAACAGGGTCGGTCGCTGTCCAGCAAGGTGGCAGCATCTAACTTCTTTTCAACCCCTTGTACCCCTGCTCGCCAACCCCTTCTGTGTGCTGCAACTTGGACAGCAATAACATATTCAGGTGGGGAGTCGCTCTCCTCAGCAAACTTTTGAGAAAGTGAAGCTTGTCTTGTTGTTAAAGTGTATTCATAACATGTGATTTTATACTGTTACAACACCTCCTCTTCTTCAAGAACAGAGGAATGCTGTTACAACGCAATAGAAGCTGTCGACAAAGGCAGGCCGGGGTCCAGTTAACCCAAGCCAAGATGGTCAAAGAAGCAAACGTCCACTGTATCTGCGACAAATTCACAGCCAAGCAGAAACCCATGATCAGCCTGAACAAGTGGTTTGCTGTTACGCTAGTTAGAATATAAATTTACATGCTTTGGTTTCAGATTTCATTGAAAGTTTCCCCTGTTTATCTTCTGAAAGGTGCAATATTTTTACAGGTTACATTTGCTTCGGAGCAGCGGCCAATGCCTGAGCATTTGCTGTAAGACAACTCTGATTAATGGAGAAATGAATGAAGGATAGAAGGCTGTAATCTACATTTTAAAATTTTGTATACTAACATATGCGGCGTTTAAATTTTTAATTCAGCATGAATATCAGCTACAACATATGCAACGTTTAAATTTTACACAAAAACACAACAAGCAATTAAGTAGTCTAGCTAATGCACTTTCCTGTCAGCAACAAGCTCCGTTGAATAGTCTGAAAGAAAGAAACTTCAGCGGAAAGAATGCATTGTCCTAGAAAAGCCATGCATATGAATACAAGAAGAAAAATCTGATGGGAGTTTCCTCAGTACCAAATTTAGGAACCCTTGCCCGAGTACATGTACTTCAGAGAGCACCAGAAGCTTGTTTGTTGTCTGCTGAAAGCTTCAGGTTCTCCCATTACTGCATTATTTCATCGATTACTATTTTGTGCGAGTCACAGCAAGACTCCCGTTGTCTTCGTTAAATCCACTAGTAACCACGGTTGTAATACTTCTTATCTACATGCAGGTTTGAGACTTGTAAAAATGATATAGTGCAGAAGAAAGGGACTACTAATTGGACTTTGTTACCTGAAATAGATTAAAAGTCCACAAGCTGAGAGATGCATCTTGTCCAACGCGATAGTTCATCTGTCTGAGCTTGAGGCTCATCAATGAATATAGAGGCGCATGGCGATGCTTGATTGTGACATTTCAAGAATATAAAGGATCAAGTCAGCTTTAAACAGGGGTGGTCGCTGTCCAGCAAGGTGGCAGCATCTAATTTCTTTTCAACCCCTTGTACCCTGCTCACCAACCCTGCGCGTCCTGCAACTTTAACAGTCAATGAAATATCACACGAACAACAAAGCCCGTCAAATAGCACATCCAAAATTGAATCAAGGCATATCCTGGTCTAGCCTGTTCAAAGTAAATATTGTTCAGTGTTTCACAAATGTGAGATATTGTTGATCTCAGTCACTAAAGTCAGCCACAACATTTGAGATATCGTCAACCGATTACAAATATCCAAATCAGTGAATAATGAATAGCAGGATCATGCAAGTTTGCAAAAGAAATTAACAGGAGCATCATTCACATCAAGATGACAAGTGCTCAAGTGGTATACATATTCTGCCCGCTAGTCTCTACAGCCATGCCTCCTCTTCTTCAAGAGCAGAGAAACACTACTACAGTGCAACAGACGCTGTCCACAAAGGCCGGGGTCCAGTTAACCCAAGCCTAGGAGGAACCTGTTGCAGGATGGTGAAAGAAGCAAACGTCGACAGTATCTGCGATAAATTTACAGCCAAGCAGAAACCCATGATCAGTTTGGAGAAGTGGGTTGCTGTTACAGAAAAATGTGTCGATGGATTGTGCACAGGTGCTGATTTCGCTAGTTAGAAGGGTCAATTTACATGCTTTGGTTTGACCTTAAAAATCAAAGCTTCCCATGTTTATCTTCTGAAGGTGCGATATTTTTACAGGTTACATTGCTTCAGAGCAGTGGACGAACGCCTGAGCACTTGCTGTAAGACAACTCTGAAAGAAAGACAGAAGGCTGTAATTTACTTTTGTATTGTCTATCACGACATCTGCAGACTTGTTACGGCGCTGCTAGAAGGAGGGCGCAAGAAGGCCGGCCGGGGGCCTTTTGCCCACGGCCGGGCAAGATGGAAGGATTTCCTTCTTAATTCTTGCTTGATTAGATTGATACATCTCCTCTCTTTATATAGAGAGGTTTACTTGACTCCCAAGCAAGGCTTACTTGACCCCTAAGAAAGCGACTCTTATCTCTAATTAACCCTAAGACTAACGGGCCCATTAGGCCCATTACGTATTCTAACACTACACCCCACCTGGACATGCAGCTTGTCCTCAAGCTGCAGCCTAACCAACTTATAACCATGACTTGACGCAACCCAAACCTAACACCTAAAAACAAGCCTTTTACATCTCGGCTTGTTTTATTATTCTCAACCTGAAATGGACTGGGACGATTTATTTTGGACCTCTTAACAAAAAGTGGATACCATCCGCACGTCGGACGTGCACGTGTACAGCCACCTGGATCCCATGGACACCATCTGGACAAAAGGAGTGCATGTGTATGGCCACCTGGAAGTGGTTGCAAGAGTGACCAGCAGAGGCGCCCTTGCGGCGCCCGGTGACGGAATGCAGTGGTGCTACGTGGAGCGTTTTTGTCGGTGACACCATGCCTTCTTCCTACTGGAGGGCTGTTGGTCTGCACCGCACAGGGAAGAGTGGGGGGCTTGCGATGGAGAATGACGAGGAGGGGTGCGCCCCCCCAACCGCCAATGTCGCAGACTTGGAGGTCGCTGCCCGTGGGGAAAACAGCATGCCCGCTGCCCGTGGGGGAAACCGCATGCCCAAGATCCCCGGCGCAGCGGATGAGATCGAGGTCCTTTGCGCAGCGAAGGGCAACTTGGAGGAGCGGCAGCTGCAGACCACGCATCTCCCGCACACGCCGACGCGCTAGGAGGCCATGCGCAGTAGCCTGCAGCCTCACCGCCGCCGACACGTGGCGGGTAGCGATCCAAGACGGAAGCGGTGACGGCGACGGCGGGGACTGGACTTGGTGGAGTGGGACTCCCGCCGGCGCGGTCGATGCGGGGCCGGAGCTAACCGGCGGTGGCTGCGGCAGCGGCTGCGGCGGTGGCGCACCGGGCAGCGGCAGCGGCTGCTGCGGCGGAGGCCGGCAGGAGCGGCGGCTGCCAGTGCAGCCAGGGCTGGGCGGTGGTGGCGATGGATGGCAGCTGCAGTGGCCCGGCGAGCGCGGCGAAGGCCGCCTGGTGCGGCGGCTGCCACGACAGCCAGGACGGGGCGATGGATGGCAGCTGCAGCGGTTGCTGCAGCAGCCCGGCGAGCGCGGCGGGGGCCGCTTGGTGCGGCGGCTGCCACGGCAGCCACGGCGGCGCGGTGGCGGTGATGGGCGGCGCAGCCGGGTGCGGCCCATAGGATCCGGCCAAGAACAGGTGGATCTCCTGGACCGCCTGTGTTAGGTCCCGCAGCGCCCCGGACACCTCCGGGGTGAGGACGACGGGGGCGGGCGCGACGGAGGATCCCGGCGCGGGCAGGAGCGGGGCGACGGTCGTGACCGGCAGCGGAAGAGACGGGTTGGGCGGCGGTGAAGACATGATCGAACCGAAGCTAGCTGATACCAAATTTTTACGGCGCTGCTAGAAGGAGGGCACAAGAAGGCCGGCCGGGGGCCTTTTGCCCACGGCCGGGCAAGATGGAAGGATTTCCTTCTTAATTCTTGCTTGATTAGATTGATACATCTCCTCTCTTTATATAGAGAGGTTTACTTGACTCCCAAGCAAGGCTTACTTGACCCCTAAGAAAGCGACTCTTATCTCTAATTAACCCTAAGACTAACGGGCCCATTAGGCCCATTACGTACTCTAACAAGACTGAACCTTAGTTTTATCAATGTAAATAGTAACATAAAAGTGGGTGTTATCCGCTTCCTTCTTTTTGTCTCTGTTACCATGTTCACACTGTACTTTTACCAGTGTCTTTAAACTAGAACTCTACCCGATAGATATACTTGAATAAAGTAAATTAGAAGACGTTTATAATAAGCTGCAGCAGAAGAAGAAAGCAGGAAATGAAATCAGCTAAAAATAGTCACCAATTTTTTTTTATTCAGCATGAATGGCAGCTACAACATATGCAGCATTTAAATTTTACAAAAAAACACTACAAGAAATTAAGTAGTCTATCTAGTGCACTTTTCTGTCAGCAACGAACTTCGTTGAATAGCCTCAAAGAAAGAAACTTCAGTGGAAAGGATGCATTATCCTAGAAAAGCCATGCATATGAATACAAGAAGGAAAATCTGATTCTCCCATTACTGCATTATTTCATCGATTACTATTTTGTGCAAGTCACAGCAAGACTCCCGTTGTCTTCGCTAAATCCACTAGTAACCACGGTTGTCATACTTCTTATCTGCATGCAGGTTTGAGACTTGTAAAAACGATATATTGCAGAAGAAAGGGACTACTAATTGGACTTTGTTACCTGAAATAGATTAAAAGTCCACAAGCTGAGAGATGCATCTTGTCCAACGCAGTAGTTCTGAGCTTGAGACTCATCAATGAACATAGAGCCGCATGGCGACGCTTGATTGTGACATTTCAAGAATATTGAGGATCAGGTCAGCTTTAAACAGGGGCGGTCGCTGTCCAGCAAGGTGGCAGCATCTAATTTCTTTTCAACCCCCTGTACCCTGCTCACC